CCGCGGCCATCCCCAGCCCCATCCTTGAAGGTGGGTGGGGACAGGCCCGGGGTGGACAGATGGCGTGGCCCAGGGAGGGTTTAGCTCCTCTGGTCCCAGTGCCCCAAGTGCCCAGGATGTTCCCCACACCCAGGGGAGCATGTCCTCGGGGAAGGGAAGGGACAGGGTAAGCTGTGGGTCTTTGTTGTCCCCAGCCGTGATGAAATTCATGGGTGACCACCCTCTGCGGGGACAGACGGAGCTGGACGCCATCTGCACCATCCTTAAGGTAAATCCCCCATTGGGGCGGTGAATCCTGGGGGTGGCCTGGGCAGGAGGGTGGCAGCTGGAGATGTCCCCAGCTGCAGAGTGAGCCGTGCCTGTCCCCCAGCTGTGCGCGGATTATGAAGTCCTGCGGGACGAGGTGTACTGCCAGATCATCAAGCAGGTCACCAACAACACCAGCTCCAAGCCGTGAGTCCCTGCACCCATGCTGGCCGCCCCTAGCTGGGACAACATTAAGCTGGCACTAGGGACACTTGTGTCCCTGGCCGGGCTGAGCGGCCCCAGCGTGGGGGGACACCCGGGGAGCCCACCCTTGCAGAGGGCTGCGTTGCTCCCTGGGGTGGTGGGTGCCATTGCAGTGGCCTGCGGGCACCATCGCCCTCCCCAGGGGCTCAGCCCCGGCTCTTCCCGGCAGGGACAGCTGCCAGAAGGGCTGGAGGCTGCTCTACATCCTCGCCGCCTACTACAAGTGCTCCGAGGTTCTCCGGCCTTTCCTCCTGGCCTTCCTGCAGGATGCTAGCAAGCACCCGGAGCTGCCCTTCCAGGGTAGGGGCCGTGCGTGCCCGAGGGTAGTGGACGCATGGTGGGGAAGGACACCCAGGGGGGTATCACAGGGCTTTGGAGATGCAGCTCACCCCCATCCTTCACCCTGGTTCCCGTCCCCACCAGGCATCGCCAAAGCCTGCGAGCAAAATCTGCGGAAAACCCTGCAGTTCGGTGGCCGCAGCCTCTTCCCCAGCAGCATGGAGCTCAAGGCCATGGTGGTGAGACCGGGTGCCTGTGGGGCAGGGCTGATGTAAGCTTGAGATCCCTTCTGGAGGTTTGGGATCCCCTGCCCTGGTCTTGGGATCCCCCCCGAGACACTGCCCTGGTGGCGTGGGGAGCCCAGTCCTTCATGGGAGCTGCTCTGCAGGGGCATTGCTTTGGGGGTGCTCTGAGCTTTCAGGGGTCCCCAGAAGGGACACAACTCTGTGCACGTGGGGTAGGGGGGTGCGATGGCTCACCCAGGCAGGATGGGCAAGATACAAAATGATCCCCATAGGATAGTCCCTGTGGGACAGCTTGGGGATTTGGGGTGTCCTTCGGGGTCTTGCTGTGCAAAGGGCCCCCCTGCACCCCAACATGTCCCCCCTCCAACACAGGCCGGACGCAGCGCCAAGCGCCAGCTCTTCCTCCTGCCCGGTGGCATCGAGAGGCACCTAAAGATCAAGACGTGCTCGGTGAGTTGGAGCGGGCAAGTGGCTTGGTGCACCCCGGGCTCGTGGTGACCCTAAGGCTGTGGGCACCCCGAGGGTGCAGCTGCAAGGGGGGGCTGCACCCCTTCGCTGTCCCCAGGCTCGGGGACTTTGTTCTCTTGGAAAGTGACATCCCTTCCCTGGGGAACCGCATGGGATGAGTCTCAATGCAGGACCCATCGGTGGCTCAGAGCATGGCAGGGGGATGTGGCAGCGTCCCAACTGCCTGTCCCCATGCTCAGGTGGCTCTGGACGTAATCGAGGAGCTGTGCAGCGAGATGGGCCTGCAGCACCCGGAGGCTTTCGATGAATACATCCTCTTCGTGGTGACCGACAGAGGTGAGAGGCTGGCGGGGATGGCCGTGCCGCTGGCAGGTGCGGTGTGTGGCGGCCATGCTCAGGCTCCCGGGGCGGCGCAGGGCAGAGCGTGCGGCCGCTGACCCGCCGGGAATATGTCCTGGACGTGGCTGCTGCCGGGCCGCGGAGCCACCAGCTCCCCCTCCTGTGGCCGCCGCGTGGTCTGGAGCCAGCCCCTCAAGTTCGACAATGAGCTCTACGTCACCGTCCACTACAACCAGGTTGGGCCACCACACCAAGCTCCCCTGGGGCCACCACCCTGTCCCCCTCCTCCAGCATCTGCTGTCCTCGAGCTGTGTCCCTGCGCTCTGTCCCCCCCAGGTGCTCCCCGACTACCTCAAGGGGCTGTTCACCGTCCTGCCGCCTGCGAGGCCGGGAGAGCAGCACTTCCCGCATGTGGCCAAGCTGGCCGCCCTCCAGCACCGAGCCAAGGACCGCCACCACCTCCCTACTGCGTACGGCCCGGGGCAGGGGGACCGGGTGGGGGTGATGGGAGAGGGGCACATCCCATGGGGTGCAGGACCCGCTGGGCCCCTGGCTCCCCGCAGGCGGGAGGTGCAGGACTACATCCCCCCGCAGCTCTTTCGCCTGCTGAAGGCCCAATCCTGGCTCCACATGGTGACCCAGCACATGCAGCAAGCGCAAGCGCTCAGCGCCCACCAGGCCAGGGCACAGTTCCTGGGTGAGTGGGCACAGGACGGGCACGTGGAGGTGATGCTGCCGGGGATGCAGCGCTAACGAGGCCACAGTGCTAATGAGGATGCAACGCTGCCGGCGATGCAAGGCTACTGGTGATGCAATGATGATTGTGTCCTCCTAACGAGGACACAATGCTAATGAGGATGCGATGCTGCTGGGGATGCAAGGCTGCCCAGGAAGCGATGCTCACAAAGCTGAGATGCTGCCCCTGATGCGATGCTGCTGGGTGGCTCCTCTGGGAGGAGTTTGGGACAGACAGATCGTGGCCCTGCGTGGAGCCTGGGGTGCTGCACACGGTGGGGAGGCAGGACAGCAGTGGCAGGGCAGGGCAGGCTGCTCCCAGCCCCCCCGCTCAGCCACCCACGCAGGCTGTGACGAAGCCCCTTGGCTGCTCCTGGGTCTGATTCTGCTTCTGGGTCCAGAGCCTGAAACCGTGCAAGGCTCTGGGAGCTGACCCAGCTCCTGCCAGGCATGGGGCCAGCTGGGACCCTCGGCAGAGCCCCCATGGGTGCGAGTCATCCCAGGGTCTGGGCAGGGAAGGATGGCAGCGGGCACTGAGACCCCATCCCTCACCCTGCAGGGCTGCTGAGTGCCTACCCCATGTTCGGCTCGTCCTTCTTCTACATCCAGAGCTGCAGCAACAACGCCATCGTCTCACCCTGCATCCTGGCTGTCAACCAGAACGGCCTCAACTTCCTCAGCAAGGAGACCCACGTAGGTGGGGGGCTGTGGGGGGCACGGGGTCCCATGGGCACCACCCGCCCCCTCCTGCTCCTGCTGCAGGGACAAAGCCAGGCGGCACCGTGAGGTGTGAAGGCAGGTGTGGGGGGGTGATGTCCCTCTCCGAAGGGGACAGGGTCCCCAGCTTTGGCCCCAGCAGGCCAGGTCTGCCCGCCCGTGCCCAACCTGAGGGGGGGGGGCCTGCATTGCCGGCACCCTCCCTCCTGCCCGTGTCTGCACCCTCTCCGGTCCTCGGTCCTCTTGGAGGGCTTCCTGGGTTGCTTGGGCCACCCACACTGTCCCTCTAGGAGCCCATCGCCAAGTTCTCGCTGAAGGAGATCCAGTCGACGCGGACGCAGCGCCCGACGGCCGGATCCAGCTACCCCTACGTGGAGATCACGCTGGGCGACCTCCTGGCCCAGGGCATCACCCAGCTGCAGCTGGAGCAGGTAGGGGACACCCGGAGTTGGGGCTCCGGAGTCCCTGCTGGGGGGTCTC